GAGGGATTGTGTCTCCTTTATGCCCCTTTCTAGAATATTCCAGAGTTTTAGCAGGCACTGCCATTAAAAGAAGCCTCTGTGAGGCTCTCAGCACTTGGGTGTGGGGGGATCCCCATGACTGGATACGGAATGAGTCAGCTCATATGCCAGCTCCTCCTAGCAGCGAGAGGGCTCTTCAGTTCCAGCTCTTCTCAAGGCATCGTGTTCAGGGGCTAGAGATCAGGCTCAGTGCAAGCAGGGCATCAGGCCTCCGTCAACCACCTAAAAAAGCCCCGTGCAGCCTTCAGTCCCATCTGGGTAGTAAGGGGAATCGGGTACGAGGGGCACGGATGGTCAGCTCATCTCTCTCAATAAGGTAGAAGGTAAGGACCAGCATCCAAGGTTGTGTTCTGAGCTCCACCGGTGCCCTTGAGCACAGCAATGTATGCATACGTTAACAGATTGCAAGAAGCAGAGGGTGGCTGAGGAGGACATCTACCCGATGTTTATTTACTGACAGCCCCTACGTGCTCAGGCACGTGGGCATCCGGAGAAGATTAGTGAGATCCAACTGTGGTACATTCAGGGCCCCTTATGACTGCATCTTACACTGGGGTCAGGAAATTTGACTAATTTGACTCAAGACTTGGAGACAAGACTTGGGTGGACAGTGACTAAGGAAGTAACAGGGTTTGGGATTGCTTTGTTTTTCAAGACAGCTTTTCTGTGAAGCTTTGGAGCCTGTCCCGGATCTCACTCTGTAGACCAGGCTGACCTCAAACTCATGGAGATCCGACTGCCTCTGCCTCCCGAGTGCTGGGATTGATTTTTTAAAAAATTATTTGCATTTTATGTACATTGGTGTTTTGCCTACATATATGTCTGTGTGAGGGTGTCAGATCCCCTGGAACAGGAATTACAGACAATTGTGAGCTGCCTTGTGGGTGCTGGAAATTGAACCCAGGTCCTCTAGGAAGAGCAGCCACTTAGATGGCTCTTAACCACTGAGCCATCTCTCCAGCCCCCTGGGGTTGATTCTCGTTGAATGGGGACTAGATATCAGTTAAGGTGGGGGTGGGGTTTGCCATAAACAGTGAGGGGCTCCTGCTGAGCTGAACTCATGCTCAGGGTTGACCTCTATGTTGGAAAGGGGTGTGTGGGTATCTTTCTGACCTGGGTACCCGTGCAGTGGGGCTGGAAGGACAGATCCCATGGCAGAACTCTCCTGGGTAAGAGAGTTGGTGAGAGGGACTCCTAAAATTTGATCCATAGAGGCCTGGCCTGGGTGTCGGGCAGCCAGGGTCCCTGAGTCTTTGCCTTCCTGGATCCTCCCCGGTACGCTGGTTGACAGTTGGTGGACTTGGTTGGTTTATCATCTGAGCTCTAAGTGGCTTCCAGGGACTCTGCCACTAATGGCTCCCTGCCATCATGCAGCATGTCACCATGCATGCATGGGGCACATGGGCTCTCCGCTGCACTGCCGAAGCAGGCACTCACTGGGGAACTCCATTTCTGCGACAGACAGACCCTCCTTTGGCCCTCCCCGGTCTCACCAAGCACAAAACAGGAACCCACATTTCTGGCTAATGGGGCACTGCTGCTTTTTTTGACCACAGGTTCTTGTAGCCAGATTTGCTGGCACAAGGCTCTGGTGGCATTTCACCGCAGCGAAAGATCTGGCAGGCTAGCTGGCTGCGGAACTCACCACATGGTTCTTAAGAAGGTTTTTCGCTCCTTGGTATTTTGCCGAGGTTTCAGGCAGCCTCCCCCACCCTTGCAAGTGCCCCCAACTTCACTTGGGAATCCTCATTTCCTTTAGGTTTCTGACATACTTTCCATGTAGAAATTATTATATTATCTTTTGGTTCTGGTTGGGGGTGTCTTCAATTTCTGTTTTTATTTTTAGGTAGATCTGTGCTTTAGCTGCAATATTTTAGTTGTCAAAATTTAAGAGCACTTTTTTTTTTTTTTTTTTTTCAGGTCGGTTTTTCTAGACAGGGTTTCTCTGTGTAGCTTTGGAGCCTATCCTGGCACTCGCTCTGGAGACCAGGCTGGCCTCAAACTCACAGAGATCCGCCTGCCTCTGCCTTCCGAGTACTGGGATTAAAGGTGTGCGCCACCAACGCCTGGCTTAAAGAGCACTTTTAAAACTGCAGCCTAAATGCAAACTTTAAAAATGTATCTTGGCTGGCTGGCATGGTGGCGCACACCTTTAATCCCAGCAAAAGGGAGGCAGAGACAGGCACATCTCTCTGAGTTCCAGGCCAGCCTGGTTACAAAGCAAGTTCCCAGGACAACCAGGGCTACACAGAGTAAGAAACCCTGTCTTGAATAAAGAAAAGGAAACAACCCCAAAATGTATCTTGATCAATCTCTTCCTTACACTTACACAATCCTTCTCTTCCGTACACGAGGTCCTCCCAACAGGCCCTCTTTCTCCTCCATCCCCTCCTGTTTGCCTGCTGGAATGCTGAATGCTCACTGTGCTGATTGCTTGATTGTGCGCAGGTGGCCATGGCTACAGTGAGTTCAAGAGCGCAGAACCTGGAAGTCGGCATTTTACAGCGCTCCTCCCCAACCTTCTCACATTCTTTCTGGTCTTTCTCCTGCCTTGTGCATTGTTCCTTCCTTGTGTCCTTGGTGGGGTGGGGAGCCAGAGAGAGGTCCCATTTAGGGTTGAGCAATCAATCACCAGTAGCTTATTCTCAGAGCTTTGACCAATCAGCAGAAAGAGGCCTTTCTGGCTAAGGTTGAAAGTAGTTTAAATGTTCATATAGCGAAACAGCAATGGTGCATTCCTAAGTCCTATGATCTCCAGAGCCGTGGGCTTTGACCAGGTTTTTTTTTTTTTTAAATTTAAATTTATTTTACTAATCATTTCATTTATTTTTATTTTTTGGGTTTTTTGAGACAGGGTTTCTCTGTTAGTTTGGAGGCTGGTCTGGAAATCGCTCTAGGCTGGGCTCGAACTCACAGAGATCCGCCCGCCTCTGCCTCCCGAGTGCTGGGATTAAAGGCGTGCGCCACCAACGCCCGGCTCATTTCATTTATTTATTTTACATGCCCACCACAGTTTCCCCTCCCTCCTCTCCTCCAGTTCGGTTCCCTCCCCTCTCCTCCCTTGTACCCCACCCCCATTACCAGATGGGGAAAAGCCTCCCATGGGAATCAGCAAATCATGGCATTCAAATTGAGGCAGGACCAAGCTCCTCCCCTCTGCATCAAGGCTGGACAAGGCATTTCACCAAAGAGCCAGCTCATGCACCAGGGACAGACCCTGGTCCCACTGCTTGAGGGCCCACAAAAGACCAAGCTGCACACCCGTCACCCAGATGCAGAGGGCCTCGGTTGGTCCCATGCCGGCTCCCGAGCTGTCTGTTCAGATTGACCAGGTTTTCTAATCAGAGCAGTTACAATCTTCATGCCACTGTTATGCACCAGTGGGCACGTCTTGCCTAGTAACCCCTGGGTAACTACTGAAAACCACAAACTGAAGGATGCTTGTGGTGATGGTGGTGGTGGTCCTGATGCTGGTGCTGCCTCTAACTCATCATCCAATGCGGGGCCCCTTTACATGCCAGGCAAGCTCACTAGCACTGGAGCGCATCGAGCTATGCCTTTGCTAGAGTACTAGCTTAGCGTGCACAGGTCCTGGGTGTAGTCTACAGTACCATGGAGTAACAACACAATGTGCAAACAGCCAGGCTATGGCCGTGCCTGGCTTCTCCCAGAATTTATATCGGACCATTCTTGTTGCTTGTTTAGCTTCATCAGTCTTTTTCCTCTGGAGTGTTTTGTTTTTTTTTTTAAACTGGTAATTATGGTCCTTAGTGACCATAATTCGTTCAGGTGTTACCGTTAAGAGCCGTAACCACTGGGATGGAGTTATTAAGAGCACTTGCTGCTCTTGCAGAGGACGGGGGTTTGATTTAGCATCTGTAGTTCCAACTCCAGGCCCCCTCCTGCCCTCCTTGGTGCCAGCATGCAGGAGGTGCCTAGACACACAATGCAGACAAAAAGCTAAACACACAACCAAAGAGCTGCCATAGCAAAGTACTCGTGCGTCAGCCACACTCAACTCAATGTTGCCAGGCTAAACGGTATACTATGGTAATCCCAGCTGTGTAGAGAGGAGTTCAAGGTCAGCCCTGGGAACTTAGTGAGTGAGACTTCCAAACTGAAAGAAAAAAAAAAAAGGATGGGGGGGAGGGGCGGGGTCATAGTTCAGGAATAGAGTCTAGCATGTCTGAGGTCCTAGATGTAATCTCCAGTTCTGATGAAAGAATTTCAAAGGCAAAGGTCGGCAGGGAGGGAGCTGCCTTGCAGAACAGCCTCTGTGTGGTGGAATGTTCTGACCAGCCCAGTCAACTATCCAGGACTAGCCCCACCTTAGCCCTAGTTAAGAACTGAACTCCCCTTTAATCCCAGCACTCAGGAGGCAGAGGCAGGGGGATCTCTGTGAGTTCGAGGCCAGCCTGGTCTCCAGAGCGAGTGCCAGGATAGAGAAACCCTGTCTCGGGGAAAAAAAAACAAAAACTGAACTCCATCCATGTCCAGAGGAATTGGGCTCCTGATGTCATAGAGAATGATGTCATAGGTGGGTGTGGCCTACTCCAAGATGTCCATGTGTAGGCTTACAGTGGAAGTGTGGTACTAAAGCTCCCAGGGACATCTGGGTCTTATTCAGAGTGTAAAGGTTTTCTTTTCTTTTCTTTTTTCTTTTTTTTAAAGACATTTATGTCTCAACTAGGTTCTCCTGTCTTCACTGGCATAATCATTTCATTTTTTGTCGTTATTCTTTTTTTTTTTGAGACAGGGTTTCTTTGCATAGCCTTGGAACCCACTCTGTAGACCAGGCTGGCCTCAAACTCACTGAGATCCACCTGCCTCTGCCTCCCAGGTCCTGGGATTAAAGGTGTACACCACCACCACCTGGCTCAGGAACACCCAGGACTTGGTGTTTATTTTTTTTTCCCAGAGGCTTCTGGGCTCATCAGTTCTTTATAGGAGCAAGGTGTGGTGGTGCACACCTTTAATCCCAGGGAGGCAGAGGCAGGGAGATTGAGTTCCAGGCCAGCCAGGGCTACATAGAGAGACCCTATCTCAAAACCAAAACCAAAACAACCCTCCAAAACTAATTCTTTACAAAAGCCTAACTGTAACAAGAATTGCTATTAGACCCCGTGGGAGGCAACCAAGGGCAAGAGCAATAGCTGGATTGTTTTGCTATCCTAGAGCTCGTTATGTAGACCTGTACCCTCTGCTCTCTGCAGAGCTCTGCCCTCCCGTGGTCTCCTTTTATTGGGTGGTCTCTGCCGTTCGTTGTTCCTCATTATACAGTCACAGCCAAAGCTTCAGACCGAGGATCCACAACTGAGAGAAAGTGACATTCTTCGTGCTGGGTGTCAGTCCCTCAGAGTACCGGGCCCGGTGTGGGGAGGAAGCATGCCTCTGATTCCAACTCATTGCTATTGAATCTCAAGAAACTGCAGCCTCTCTAAGCGTTCTGTGCTGGGTTGAATTTTGGCTTTCTTGTGCAGCAGAGGGCGCCAGAGATCATAAGGGTTTGTTAGGAAACCCGCAGGGACCCAGGATCAGCGCCTTCTGGGAACCCTACCCAGGCAGGTTCTCACTTTGCAGAAGCGCCTGCGCTCTGCCTCCCATTGTCCAATGGTCTTGCCCACTCTGCTCCCGGCCTGACAGGTGCACGCTGATCCTTCTGCTAAGGTCGTACTCTTCCATCCCCAGGGCCCTCTGTCACCCCATAGACACACGGGCACTTACTGTCATGGACCGACGCCAGGCTGTTACAGGGTGTTCTAATCCTTTAGGTCACATGCCCTCGCTAAAAGACATCGGGACACTATCTGGGGAGGAAAGGGACCAACAGGAGCAGAGACAAGGGGTGGGGGTAACAGACTGAGGACGGGGAAACCAACAAAAAGTATGTAAGTGAATGTCGCCAAGGCCAGATCCATGGTACAATGTGTTTAATAGAATGCTGTAAGCTTGGTGACCTGAGTTTGATCCCCAGAGCCCACAAGGTGGAAGGAGAAGCCCGACTCCTACAAGTTGTCTGCTTGTTGACCTCCAAATGTTCATTGGAGCACACATACTAGTGTGCAATGTCACGCACACTAATTTTTTCTTTTACATTTACATGTAAAACAATTATTTCTTAAAATCATGTGGGGTAGGAGCCTTGGCTCAGCAGTTGAAGGACATTTGTAGAAGACTGGAGTTCAATTCCCAGCACGTGTGTCAGGTGGCTCACTCACTGGTAGCTATATTTGTTTTTTGGGACAAAAAGTTTCTCTGTGTAGCCCTGGCTGTCCTGTTACTCTATTAGATAAGGCTGGCCTCCAACTCAGAGAGATCCTCCTGCCTCTGCCTCCCAAGTGCTGGGATTAAGGTGTGTTCTACAAGTCAACCCCCTCTTTGGCTTTTTGAAAAAGGGTTTCACATAGCCTAGGCTGGTCTCTCTATGTTGCCAAAGATGACTTTGAAATTCCGATTCTCTCACCTCCACCTCTCAAGTTCTGTGAATATAGGTGTGTACCAAATACTATCTATCTATCTATCTATCTATCTATCTATCTATCTATCCATCTATCTATCTATCTCCTATCTATCTATCCATCCATCTATCTCCTATCTATCTATCCATCTATCTATCTCCTATCTATCTATCTCCTATCTATCTATCTATCTCCTATCTGTCATCTATTGAAAGACCCCAACTTAAACCCAGCCTGATACCCACCGCATGTATTTGAAAATCACTCTGGCCACACACACACATGAAATGGTCGGTCATGACGACCAGTCTCTGGAAATTATTACTAGCTTCCAAGGAATGTTATTATCCTCAACAATTGTCTGGTTTCTAAAAATTCTTATGGGTTACCCTGCTCCAGAGAGTCATTACCACCCAAGTTTTGAAAATAAGTATAAGTCACTCTGTTCCCAGAAAAAAACACGAGCTGTACCATGGCCTTGCAAGTGTACAAACCAAAATAACATTCCAAACCCCTTGTGGGCAAAATGGTAAGTTCAGTTCCCAACCAATCAGTAAATGGCGCATACATGATATAGACAATCAATATGTTGTCACACTCCTGCCTAGTGACCAAAAAGACATAAAAACTGCTTTAGAAACTCGGGGTCGATCTCTTTCAGAGAAAGACCCCACCGCGTTGGAATAAAATCCTTTTGCTTTTGTATAGTGGGAAATTACCAATACCGAGTCAGGTAGAAATACAAGGGTATTTAAAAGCCTTACTTACAGAGCGACCTAGCCAGCCAGCGCGGCAGCAGTCTGTACTGCAAGCCGAAAAGTGAAACTGAAAGTGACCAGTCACTGACTGCCTCTCACTCTACGTCACCCTGACCACGCCCTCACAGGTGTGGTCAGGCAGACCTGTAGCCAGCCCCTAAGCAGGTGGCTACAGGTTCCCCTACACCTTTGCATCTTGTGAGTGACTCTGTGGGGTGCGTCTCCCGAAGTTGGACCCCCCTTTTGGGCCCAAGACTATCACCTATCTCTCTCTTGCTCCTATCTATCTATCTATCTATCTATCCATTCATCCATCCTGTAATGCTAAGATTTGAACTGAGGACCTCACAAATGCTAGGCAAATGCTCTACCACAGAACTGTAAGCCTGGCCCTGCCCTCACTTTTTGTTTGGGACTGAGGATTGAACATAGGGTCTCATGCTTACTAGACGGTTTATTCAGGGTTTCTATTGCAGTAAAGAGACACTGCAACCACAGCAATTCTTATAAAGGAAAACTAATTGGAGCTGGCTTACAGTTTCAGAGGCTCAGTTTATCGTCGTCATGGAGGGACATGGCAGCGTGTAAGCAGGCATGGTGCTGCAGAAGGATCTGAGTGTTTTACATCTTGGTCTCGAGGTAGCAGAAGGAGGGTGTGTACTGGGTATAGCTTGAGACTTCAGAGCCTGGCCCCACAGGGACACACATCCTCCATCAAGGCCACGCCTCCCAATAAATAGTGCCACTCCCTATGGGCCAAGCATTCAAACACTTGGCAAGTGCTGGTTTATTCGGCTACATTTCCAACTCTTGTTTTTGAAACAAGGTCTCACTAAGTTTCCCACACTGGCCTTGAACTCACTGGTCCTGCTTGAACTTGTAGTTCTCTTGGCTAATCTTTCCAAGTGCTGGAGTTAGAGACACGAGTCACTACTTTTGGCCATTTTGTGTTTTGCTTACTCTCACCATCCTCATGCTACCTCGCTGTTATTTCCTTAGGCTGAAGTACTATGTTTAACTTAAGATTGACTTTTATTGTTTGGTTTTTCGAGACATGGTTTCTCTGTGTAGCCCTGGCTATCCTGGAACTCACTTTGTAGACCAGGCTGGCCTCCAACTCAGAGATCCTCTTGCCTCTGCTTCCCAAGTGCTGGGTGTAAAGGTGTGTGCTACCACTGCCTGGAAAAGACTGATGTTATTTTCTTTTTCTTTAAAGTTTTTTTAAAATATTTTATTTATTATGAATACAGTCTTCTGCCTGCATGCCAGCAGAGGGCATCAGATCTCATTCAAGGTGGTTGTGAGCCACCATGTGGTTGCTAGGAATTGAACTCAGGACCTCTGGAAGAGCAGGCAGTGCTCTTATCTTCTGAGCCATCTCTCCAGCCCAACATTTCTCTTTTTTTACTGTTGATATGTATCAGTCTTATTTCCTTGCCCTTCAGAAAAATCAATCAGCCTGCTTGGTTGGTCAAATTTAAAATTTTAATTTAGGTCATTTATTCCACAACACAATTAGAGCAAATAAAAAAAGGAAAACATTCGAGGTTCATCTAAAAGCTCACACTGCATGAACGGGCACAGCAATTCAAACAAATTCCAAACAAGACAAGCACGATGATACTTCATATTAAAAAGCGAAAATTTCCCTAACTAATTAGAATACGTGACGGCCTCCGTATATTTCTGCAACGCCTTTGTGCCCTATGCGTACCAAACACAGGGTTACGAGTAGACAGCGATTTCCCAAAGGAGCTTTCATATTCCAGGATCATTTTCCTTGTTCGGGGTTAGCTGGACGCCTGAAAATGCCTGGATTTAACACGGGACAGATAGCGAGGGCTTCTTTTGGATCATCAGGATAGGAATTCGCCGGAGCAAAGAATGGGCGAAGTGGATCCGTGTCAGAGATGTTAAAGAACGTAAAGATGTGCGAGCCATCGCTCAGGTCCCAGAAGGAAATGCTCTTCCTTACGAGGTCAAGGAAAATCCCCACCCTGTGCAACCGAGGGTTCACGATGAGCACGGTCAGGGGTTCAGTGCAGGCAGCGTAGACCTCTCCACCCCTGACACCCACAGTCCAGAATCCGTGCTCTTCCGTCAGGTTAATTGGCTCCTGCCGGTTAACCGAGTCTTTGCAAACGCCCACGTCCCACTCTTTGCTCCTTCCCACCACCAGCTCCCAGTAATGCCGGCCCGAAGTGAACCGCGAGGAGCCCAGGACGCAGGTGGAGACCTGGAATCTCTCTGCACACTCTTTCCGGTCCTGCCTCTTAGACGAACAGTAGACACTCATCAGGTCATCAGAGATGATGAGGCGGTCGTGGGCCGTGTCCGGATCCAAGGTCATGTGCACTGTGTACAGAAAATCCAGCAGCTCAGCAAACACAAGCAACACGGACTCTGTCTTTCATATTTATTGTTGGGGCTCACGCACCTCACTTTTATTTAACTCCACTCTTTTTTTTTTAAAGAAAGATCACCTCTTAGGGACAGTTTCAAGACCTTCCTAACTAGGTGACGTTTTATATGCAGAATGAAAGCAGTTGTCACAAAATGTTTCTCTAAATCACTGTAGGAAATTTCTACACTGTTGAGTACTGGACTTGTATAATATTTATTTATTTATTTTTTTTTTGAGACAGGGTTTCTCTGTGTAGCTTTGGAGCCTATCCTGGCATTCACTCTGTAGACCAGGCTGGCCTCGAACTCACAGAGATCCTCCTGCCTCTGCCTCCTGAGTGCTGGGATTAAAGGCTTGCACCACCAACGGCCAGCTCCATCTTTTTTTTTTTTTATAGCTATAAGAAAAAAAAAAACATTTACACAATGCCACTACCAGGGCTGAGGTGGCTCAGCAGATAGAAGCTTGTGTGTCAAGCCTGATAACCTGAGTTTGATTCTCTAAGACCCACCTGGTAAAAGGAGAGAGCCAGTTCCTTCAAGTTGTCCTCTGACCTCTGCATACATCATATCGGTGCCCAAAAAAACCCCCACCCCCAAACCAAACAAAAAATAAAACAAAAACTGGTAACACCAATAATGCAGAGCTAACGTGTGATGAGGAACCAGGCGTTGGCGTTGCTTCCTGTCGCTCAGGAGTAGAAAGCACAGGGTCCGGAGTCCAGACCTAACTTTACTTGAACTATCTTCAGATGGCTTGCGCCACTCACCTGGGGGCCCTGAGTGCCAAGATGATTTATCCATCGCAATGGCTGCCTACAGTTCTCTGTACGTCAGATTCACCTGCGGACTCTTGAGCTCTTCACGTCCCGGGGGCTCGGTGTAAGACAGAGGCCCTACTTCCTGACCCAGGCTTTTGCCCATCGACCCGTGGATTGTGAGTCAGCAGTGTCTGCACCGCCTGGGTTGTGTCAGTCGACAGTTTCAGGAAGACCTACTGCTCCAGAATCAAAATCTGCCTCGAACCAGATGGTCAGGTCACTTATACGTTATTAAATTTGAAAAGCTATCCTCCGAAGCAGAAATTTTGAGTCTGGTGTAGATTAGAAGAAAGGACATATGACAGGTAGGATTTTAGTTGGGTGGGGGTGGTAGAGGAGGAAGGGAGGGGATTGTCATCTAATTCAATCTTGTTTGTAATTCAAATACATAAAAAATAAAAAACAAAACAAAACAACAAATACAAAAAAAAAGAAAACACCAAGAAAAAGAAAAGAAAAGAAAAGAAAAGAAAAGAAAAGATATCCTCTGGGCTAGTGTTGTCAAAATAAACTCAAGGCTTGCCGGTGGGTGGAAGAGGCAGGTGGATGTCTGTGAGTTCGAGGCCATCCGGGTCTACAGAGCGAATTCTAAGATAGCCAGAGCTGTTAACACAGAGAAACCCTGAATCAATCAAACAAATAAACAAATCCAGAAGGATGGGCCAGGGAGATGGCTCAGTGGTAAAGGAGCAATTGTCGCTCTTTCAGAGGACCTAAAGTCAGTTTCGAGTGCCCAGATGGCAGCTCATAACCACCTGTAACTCCAGGTTCAGGGAATCCAGGCTCCTCCTCCGGTCTCCATGAGCACGGCAAGTATACGGCGAACACACAGACATACGTGCGGGCAAACACCCATGCATATGTTTAGATATGTATATATTTGTATATGTGTGTTTGTACACATATATGCTTATATACATGCAGATACACACACACACCAAATTCTTAGGAGCACAGTATTTAATCTCAGCACTTGGGAGGCAGAGGCAGACAATTTTCCCACTTAGCTCTAATCTCTACCCCTGCTGTGTTTTGGGAAGAATGAAATTTGAAGTTCCTGGCTTTAGCTAAAGTTCAAAATGTAAATGGGGAGACGTTGGCAAGTTGATTTCCCCTGAGGGCCTTAATGGGTCTGGAGTTGTTTGTTAAGACTTCTTACCCTGAAATATCTTCAACCTGGGGTTCATTTTTAGAATATGCTTCATCCACGGCTCGAGTTTTTTGACCTTGGTAATCAGGCGCTCTAACTGCATAGCAGGTAGGATGTCTTCCTTCAAAGAGACGACAGAGCAATGGGGACACAGTATGCCCTCCCCGTCGGGACTTCTCTCTAGGGTGTCAGTGCATCGGAGACAGCAGGTATAACCGCATTTCAAGTACACGGGCTTTTCCAGATAACGTGCACAGAAAAGGCAGGAAATCCTCTCTTTAAAGGAATGAGCCATGACCGGCGCCTGAAGGGAAAACATACATGTCACTGCAAGTTTCATGACTGAATGACCGCTAGACCTTGGGAGATTGTCATCTTTGCATGCATAGGGATGGCGCAGGACCGTCACAGTCATTAGTAATAGGTTATAAAGACAAAACAAAACAAAACAAAAACCTCTCACTGACTTATAACTTTGAACTTGTGAGAATTGAAATTGGAATGAAAGACAGGGTTCCTCTCTGAGCTTCCAGTTAAAAGGGTGCAATGGTCGGTGTCTAGATTGTCCAACGTGGCAGTCAGTGGCTACGGAGTACCTGAAAAGGGATGTCTCTGTCTTGTAGAGTCAATTATCTCCCTCCGCGGGGTGGGGACTGGGGATGGAATTCAGGTTGTTAGACTTGGCGCCAAGTGCCTTTACCCACTGAGCCATCTCACTGGTCCAGTGGGGGCTTATCTGAATTGCAATGTTCTGTGGGTATAAAATACACACTCAGTTTGAAAGCTCTGAGAGGAAGAACACAAGCTATTTCATTAACATTTTAAGACCAATTACATGTTGTGTTATTTACACATTGAGATATTTTTACATATGTGTGTGTGTTTCCATGTGGCTATGTGCACACGAGCACCGGTACCCGTGGAGGCCAGTGGTGTCGGATCCCCTCGAGCTTGAGTTACAGACAGTTGTGAGCTGCCAAGTGGGTGCTGGGAATCAAACCCAGTTCCTCTGTAAGAGCAGCCAACTTAACCCCTGAGCTGTCTCTCCATCTTCTTAATGTTTGATATTGAAATAAATTGATTTTACTTCCTCTACTTTAGAAATTAGAAAGTTTGTCATTACGTATGTGGGTCATGCTCTGTTTCTATTGGACAGTGCTGGCCCTAGATCCAGGAACTTTCCAGTTGTCCCACCTGGATATTGAATGAGCCAATGGGAACGATACGTCTCCTACCTTGTACAGTCAGTCACCCGCTGTTTGGACTCGAGAGAACGAAGACCACCGCTTTCCAGGCTGGGTGTTGAAAGTCCCACCTTCTGCTGCTTGAGTGGGGAGCTCTGCCTCGCTACACTGTCTGGCCTCGGACAACACTTGCCCGGTGATAAATCACCTCACTGAGAAGTTTATCCTCTGCCCTTGGCAGAGCGCTGAGAACTGAAGAAGACATTGCCTAATTGGACTCACCTCTGCTTTGCTCGTCTCTCTTCTGACCTCCAGCTGAGTTCTCGAGTGCTCCCACCTCCGAGGGCTAGCCCACTCTCCACCCCATCAGATTTCAATTAGAAATTTGGCTCAAGTGAAATTCTTTTCTACGATGAAATTCATTTGACTTGAAGATAATGTTCAGGTATGTTCTCTCGGTATTGGGTTACTGAGAATTCGAGGATGAGAATAGGAACCTGGGGGACGGAGGGAACGAAAGAGAGGCTTAGATTACATTTAATCATTTCCGCACTATTAATCACTTGCTGGTGTGCGCTGAGCACTTAAACCAAAACCAAAACCAAATACAGCTGGTGGTGGTGGCGCACGCCTTTAATCCCCAGCACTCGGGAGGCAAAAGCAGGTGGATCTCTGTGAGTTCGAGGCCAGCCTGGTCTCCAGAGTGAGTGCCAGGACAGCCAGGGATATACACAGAGAATCCCTGTCTGTAGAAGCCAAAACCAAAGAAAATGTCAAAAGCACAACAACCCCCTAAATCCCCACCAAATCCCATCACACCTATTTGGGATAATATTTTTACATTTCTTTCTGGATTGACTGTGTCTGAATGTATGCCACTACATGGATGTGGAGGCCAGAGGACAACTTTTGGGAAGAGGTTCTCTCTCTTTCTTGCCCTGTGGGTTCTGGAATGGAACTCAGCCTGTCAGGGTTGATGGAAGTCTTGTCAGCATAGCTCAGGCTAGCTCCCAGCTGAAGATCCCCCCGCACTAGCCTGCCCGGTGTTCTAGCCCAGCCTGCAGGACACTTTCTAAAAATCCTTGGAAGGGGAAACCCCCAGACCTTGTGCATGCCAGGCAAATGCTCTACTGCTGGCTACACCTTTGACCACATGATTTCTTTTTTTTCCTTTTGGTTTTTCGAGACAGGGTTTCTGTAGCTTTGGAGCCTGTCCCGGAACTCCCTCTGTAGACCAGGCTGGCCTTAAACTCACAGAGATCCACTTGCTTCTGCCTTCCAAGTGCTGGGATCAAAGGTGCTCACCACCACCTCCTGGCTTACCTTTTTTTTTTTTAAATTGAAAATTAATTTTTCTCTCAGATAATACATCCCGATCCCAGTTCCCCTACCTCCGCTCCTCCCACCCAGCCCAAGTCCACTCTTCCTTCATTTCCTCTTCAGAAAAGAGCAGGCGTCCAAGTCACTACAGCCACACAGGACAAAACAAGATACAATAAGACAAGGCAAAAGACCTAATGCCAGGGCTGGGGCATGCCAACCCAATAGGAGGAAGAGAATCTTTTTTATTTTATTTTATTGTATTAGTTCTAGTTAGGGAACAAGCTTATTTCAAGTC